AAAAGAAAAGAAAAAGGGAAAAACCCGTAACACAAACCAGAGAGAATCAAAAAATAAAGTTTCTGTATCATTGCTTAGTGAAGTAAGAAATCATCATATTATAATATTAAGCAAAGTTATATTATTCAATGTACGTTATGACCATGAAACCTTTTTCTCGATTTTTTAAAAACTCAATAACGACTTACCATTTGGAAAAAGTGCCTCAAATTGGAAAATAAAAGATAAAGAATAATATACAAAAGCAAGGATCGAGATGGAATGGCTACTTTTTTGAAGAAAAAAAACTTATTACTCGTATCACAATATTTTATTAAAATATCAACACTTTGGTGTTACTAGAACGTTTAAATAAGAAGCAAGGCCAAATTTCCATGTCAAATATGTGGCAGGTGAAAGGTGTCAAAAGGTTTCCAAAAAAAACTAATAACGATAAGAGAGACGAGTAAATAAAGTCCAAGGTTTCATTACCTGATGAGGAGGCTTTGAACAATACCACACCACTATCCTGTGTCTGGTGACTATTCTCATTCTTTTATTTGATCTTCCTTTGTTCCATTCATCCTCCTATCCATCAGCCCATCTATCCAATATTGTCCAACTATTTGTCCGTCTGTCTGTCCGTCCGTCTGTCTGTCCGTCCGTCCGTGTTTCCGTTGACCATTCGTGTCTTACTCAACACCTAGTCAACGTATTAACGTAACTTCGCTCGCTTCAACCCTGTGTAATTCACCAACTAATTGATTATCTCTAATATAATATCAGTACATATCTATTAGACGATTTATCTGCTCATTTGAGTCAGAACCTCTCAATGATTTAAGGTAATTGTACTGCTACGAAGTACGCGCCTCGCCTTTCCCCTCTTGTTCCAGCCTATCAATCTACATACACTATTTATTTCGTATACAGCTATTTCAAAAAGGTTGAATACTGAATACTGTATACTGAATAGTGTATTTCAAGACCAAGGTGCATTGTGGGTCATAGTGACATTGTCTAAAGTAGGATTAATTATTATTTATTCTATTTTTAGTGTACTCCATCTGAAACAATATACTAACTACATGTAGAGAGTTAATCTGTATATTTACTTTTTATTTCAAATTAACGAGACACACAATGCCCTTTGGTCTTGGAATGCACTATTCAGTATGCAGTATTCAGTATAGGAGGACGGAGAACCAATCACATTGCGCACAATTACCCGCGACAGTCAGCCGATTACTATAGGAGGACGGAGAACCAATCACATTGCGNTATAGGAGGACGGAGAACCAATCACATTGCGCACAATTACCCGCGACAGTCAGCCGATTACTATAGGAGGACGGAGAACCAATCACATTGCGAGTTTCCCCAATATTTAGTCGACAACTGCAAGTAGGTTCTTGCAGTACCAATCCCATAGACAGTTTATACATCGTGAATATCAGTTCTTGATAACTCTGTTACCAAACGTTTTCTTTTTTTCCTCAGTTTTAAAGATTCATCATTCATGCCTCTATCTAATAATTATTCTATCATACTCTTACACTGTACCGCTATACCTTAATTGCTCATCTCCTTCCTCGCTACTACATGATTATTGATCGACTTTGGGATATCATTTTGAAGGTACCTGGGCAGACGGTGGGCGTTTGTTCTTTCTAATATCCTCCCATCTTAACGACAAAAAAGTAAATATTTCGGCGTCCATAAAAATCTCGATGACAATAATTTTGAAAGCTCGCAGTCTATATCAGAATCGATTTTTTTCAGAGAGAAAGTAAGGAAAACTGAAACTATCAAGTTACAAAAGAGTAAGCTAAATCGCTGTTTGTTTAGTGCACTTTATATAGAAGACTTCAAAAAGATATTTCCTAATTAGTTCATCTTCAAACGGAAGTTGACAACTTGAATTTTACTAGGCTTGTCCAATGAACTTGCATGAGAAAGAACAATCTTAGAAAACGATCGATATATTAATCCCCATTACTTTGTCATTTTGTTTATAGAGAGAATAAGAGAAAAATATCAAATGTTTATAGATGAGTGGGAAAATAAGAAAGAGTTGATATAAAGACATTACGAAGTTGTGAAATAACCTCTTTGTTTGTTTGTGCATTCAACGATAATAGCTTTCATATTTGAAGTCCAGACGCATCCGTTTACGTTTATATAAACGATATATTTTCTGAGAAATTGTTTTGTCTAGCTATGGTTAGAATAAAAAAGAGTATTATAGAGAATTCCATTAATAGAACCAATACTTTTTAAATGCGTAATATTTTAGCTTCAGTTATTTATGAGAAAATTTAGAAAGAAAGACAAAATATTTTTGAAAACGGAAAACGAAAATTCTTTATCCCATCAATACTGTCAAGTACGATTACAATTACAATTGGCTTTGGGAATGAATTTTATTACGAAAATAGTAAAGAAATGAAAACTTGAACGTTTGCTTTGTGTTGGCAGTTATTTCCGCATGTGAAACTCAACAATATTGAATTCTTTTTCGTGACTTTCAACAAAAATGAACTAGTACTAAAGGAATAATTTGAGAATCTTAAAAGTAGGAATTCCATCATCATGCATGCTAGTTCTTTAGTTCGATCATCATTTCGATTCACGAATAGATAAATCCAATAGATATGAAAAATAGTCTTGACTATRCATCGATTTTATACATGTCGTATACATATAATTGCTTCATGTCCAAAACAGCCACAGTTTAATCAAAAATAGTCTTTGAAGTTTAACCATATTCCCTAACATTACATCAATTCCCTAAGGCTTTCCTTTGGTTATACTAATACTTGTTCACATTTAATCGATCCCTTAAGGCTTTCATACTTATACTCAAAAACTTAACTTGAATGCAAAAAATCGATTACCTAAATAAATATTACCTTGAATTTTAGGAAGTTTTCTTTTGTCCAACTGAAGATAAAGGAAAATAAACCAAATTTGAATCGAGAAAAATATGGATCTAAAAGGCCTATACAGACGAGAGTGTAAAGAATCTTGATTTCTAACGCATTAAAGATTAATTTCAAAGGTTTAAAACCTCATATCATCAAATTAACTAAATCTTTTGAAATCCAAGCAAAGCGAAAATATTCGTAACTTTTGGTCATAGTTTTGATTTTAACAGACTTAAGTTTTTATATCCACTTTAACGAACCGATTCTATAGTCTTTGAACCATTTTTATATCAGTACAAAAAATGTTAGTACAAATCATAGGATTTTTTTAAACAGACCTGTTTAGTTTGGACGTTTTCCCTATTTAAGACATTGAGTTGTTCCTTGATGTCGGCCAGGGAAATTGATCACTATTTTTTGGCGCGCAACTGTAAATTAAACGACGCTCGCCGAAAATCTTTCACTGCACTGCGCATGCGGATGCCAATAATAGGCCGTTTACATGATGGCGTGGTGTCATTTTTACAATCATTACCAAAATGCTGAACGAATTTTTTTTCTTATTCAAATTTTATTTCCTCATGAGAATAACAAGAGAGTTGGTGCTAACGAATAAAGTGTGTAAGGGATTACGGTAATATGGTATAGTTCACTTCCGAGATATGCTCTGCTTGTTACGAACAAAAGTTCCAATGTGAGGCTTCGTGCTAATGCTCAGATTGCGATTCGTGACAAGAGAAAAACATCAATTTAATTTAGCACGTAGCCTAGTAATGAAACCCGTTTTGTGCGTAACAAGCCAGGTATATTTCGGAAGTGGACTATTTGTCTAAACAGCTTGAGTCTGATGGTGCCCATTTGATAATCGAGGATCGTTCAAAGTGCAAAAAAAAAAAAACTTAAGTAAATTATATTGAGAAATCAAATCTTCCAATTCTCAGATCTCCATATTATATTTCATCTTAATTTTTTTTCTTCAGATGTCTCGTAATATAAGATTCATTGAGATTTTTTGTATCCATATCATAAAACGTTTAAGATAGATGCCGCATAGTTTTACTGGTCAAGCAACGTGCGTGTTTAAATATTGCCATAGCAACAAAAGGATTTTTGCATGAGAATTGTGTTAAGGAAAATCTGGATTTATAGAGGAAAATAATAACCATGTTTTAGACTTCAAACTGGGCGAAGTCAAAATATAGAGTTATGAAAATATGCTATAGTCACTAAACGCGTAAAAAAGACTTTTCAATCAGAGATTTTTTGTTCGACCCATGGTGCCGGACGTTCATTCAAGCTCGACGGGATACATGTAGTCCACTGAGACAAAAACAAGTGTCCGTATCAACAGGGTGGTCGTATTAAATGAGTTCATTCAAGAATACATGTAGTCCACTGAGACAAAAACAAGTGTCCGTATCAACAGGGTGGTCGTATTAAACGATTTCATTCAAGAATACATACAGTCTACTGAGACAAAAACAAGTGCCCGTATCAACAGGGTGGTCGTATTAAACGAGTTCATTCAAGAATACATAGTCTACTGAGACAAAAACAAGTGCCCGTATCAACAGGGTGGTCGTATTAAACGAGTTCATTCAAGAATACATGTAGTCTACTGAGACAAAAAGAAGTGCCCGTATCAACAGGGTGGTCGTATTAAACAAGCAAAAAGATTCGACAAACAATGGCATTATTTAGCCTAACAGTGGCCGGGCTTCAAATTAGTCTTGATACATGACGGAATTTCGCGCTAATGGATTATTTTAAATCAATTGTTCTTACGGTTTTAGTTGGTAGTTAAAGCATCATCTCCGCTGGATCACTTTCGTCGGTTCTAAGGCAGTACAGGGACTACTGAGACATCTATAGAAAATATATTTCCTTAAAGATTGTTTTGATTGATAGCACAATTAAGTATCTCGTGCCGGAGGATAAAGTAGAAAACGCGCACGCGTGCTGTGTGCAGTTGCAAAGCACATTAAGATATAATAAGATATTCAGTAAAAAGGTAGAAATAAAGTAAAACGGTATTTATAATGATACAAGTCGACCACATTTTGTTTGGTGTAGTGAACGCCTAGTTTCAAAAACCGTTGTAGGTTGGAGATCTGAAATCTGGAATCTGAGACCAAGTAAGATATTATATATATTCACAGCGCTAGCCGAATAACACATTTTCCTTTTAGATTAAAATATAAAGCATGACTTTGGAGTTAAAAATGTGATTTTTCGTATTTTAGACAGAAAACATAAATTCCATTTAGTCGTAGATCGCCCATCACAGATCTCCTACCGATAACGCCTTTCTTTAAAATAGGTATATATCTGCACTTCATTCATTCAAGATATTTAATTCAAAAAAACCTTTTAATTGAAGCACTGGTTAAATGACCTTAAGTGACTAGAAAATTGTCGTTCACAATGAACCTCTGAAAAACTCTAGGACTCTTAGCGTGTCGTAAGCGAACCTGCTTAAAACTTCCATTAACTGATTGAAGCACTAGCCTTCAGGAACCGGCAAAAGGGTAAACACGTTTACATGTTCTAGAAAGCTCTCCGCATTTATTTAGAATATATAAAGGAAAGGAAGAGCCGAAAAACAATGAAAATTGTTTTCAGGACTAAATTAAAACATATTTTTAAGGACGATTTTAGATGAAATATTTGAATCATCCAGAAGACTTTGGATTTTGGTAACTATCGTTTATAAACTCTATGAACAGGCT